CAAGCAACAGTCTGAAAACATGCTTATTTACTTTTATAAGACGATTTCAGCTATCATTTACCTATCCATGCTTGCTATTGGGTGAGCGGCTTTTTATTGCCATTAAAAGCCAAGTCAATTTGGAAGCTCCGGCTTGTCATTTAATACTTTATCTTTGCTTTTTTCTTTTACTCATCTGCTTTCTCCGTTCTTTCCACAAAATTCTTTATTCGATACTTTTGAAATAAATTACAAAAGCAACTTTTTTTACGTTAATCTCTATGCCATATTTTTGCAATGTTTTTTTTTGTTAACACAATTCTTATTTTAAAAACCATTTTTTTAACCAATTTACATGCTTTTATTAATAACTTTCGCACAACAACTTAAAAAAAAAATATACGAAAATTAGTCCACCTCAATTGGCTTCATTGAGCTCTTGTTCATTTTGATTTTTTTAAATAAGATTTGCAATATTTTTCCTATGAAATATTTTACAATAGCAGCTTTATTTGCTGAAGTCTGTTAAATATTTTGTCTCAGTGTAGCATTACTATTTTTTTAATTATTTTCCATAGTAAATAGTCCTTGTTCCATTTAGTGTTTTTTATAAATATTTCATTTATTTATTTATTTTTATTTTGTTTTCCCATTTATAAGTTTAAATTATTTTTTTCTTCCAGTACCTTTTATTACACTGTGAAGCTTTATTTGTTAGTTTTTACTTATAAATATTTTTACAATTTCCATAAAGTAATTTCTTGTTCCTACAAACATACATATACATATGTATGTACGCATGTAGGTTAGCCACACACTTAACATTTACTTAGAGCTCCATAAAAATAAATAGTTTCAGTTTTCTTATAAGATATTTAAGTATAAACAACATTTAACACAATTTCGCTGCAAAAACATGCCTTTGCGCAAAATTTTTATGTACAGCTAATGCTACAATTTCAATTATTTTTAAGCCAACTAAAAAAGTGTTTTACATTTTGGAGGGCGTATTTTTCGTTAAATTTTTTAAAGTATTTTTTTTTGCGAAAAGTAGGAATAAAAAAATACTATGTAAAAAAAAATGTTATTATTATATTATTAGAATTTTTAAAATACAATTTGGCTTAGGATCAGGATACCTCATATTAGCCGAAAACAGTAAACCCCTTAGGGGTACCGCTTTTCTTGTGGGCCGAGCTTTTTTAAGCTTCCAATGAAATCGTATAGACATATAGAGCTAAGGAGAGCTGCTCATTGTTGACCTAACCCTATGACGATTACAGTGAGCTTTTACTCTAAACGTGTGCATGTGAAAGCTAATGTATCCCTTAAAAAGCTCCTCCAGCGAGAGAGGTTTTGCTTGTGAGTGATAGTGCTTCATATTTGAAATAATTTTGAATATGAAAAATACATCATAAAATAATATTACAACTACATAATAACAAAGCTTTCACTTAAAAAGTTAGTGCATACGAAAAGTTTTCCAAAAATGTGTAGTTATCTAACCTTCAGAGCTTTAAATGAAAACAGTCACTGAAACGTCTTAAAAAGCCCAAAAAAAACCGGCATTTTTTAACGCTCTAGAAATGCTGTAGGTTTATTAGAATTATTTTCAAGTCAGTAAAACCAGCTTATATTTCTTTCGAGCTTCCAAGAAGCTTTTACGGTATTTTAAAAGGTGAGGGAAACGGGTGCACTAGAAAGCTTAAATTTCTGCTGAAAAAAGTCTTGAAAGCTTTGAAGCTTTATTTATGGAGCTTTCATGCATAAAGTCGAAGATTTTCCAGTATTAAAAAAATCATGTACCAGAAAAATATCTTGAGAAATATAATCGCTGAGCTTTTACTAAAGCCGTGGAAAGCTTTCGCGGGCTTAAAATAAAAATATGAATTGAAATAATTTAGAAAAACTGACAAGAAAACTTATTTTTCGAATACAATTATACCGACAACTGCCGAAAATTTCCTCTTCATCCAACTATTTTTCTATGTATGCAATCCTATAAAACTAAATCAAATAAAAATTTCATGGAAGGAATTTCTTACCACATTCATTTCATTTTTTTTCCTTTATTTAATTATCATTAACATTTCAAACAACATTTTTCTTAATATGTACATATATTAATAATACTATAATAATATGTGTTGCATAATAATGTGTTTGGCGCCTATAAGTATGCAATTTTTTTATCACTTTCTTTAAATTAGCAGCACAATTTGAAAAAAAAATCTAGTTCGTTTTTATTTTTTACATACTTCTTACATGCAAACATTACAAAAATTATTTAACAAAAATCAGTCAGTCGCTACAGTTTAATTTTTTTGATGTTTCAAAAAATTCTTACAATCTTGAGAAAATTTTTTATTCTTCTTAATTTTTAGCATTATAATCATAAAATTATTACAAAATAACGCTTAGTTAGTCCAAAAAGGAACTCAACGATTTTTTGTTTTCTTTTTTAATATTTTTACTTTTTTCTAATTAATTTTTACACATTACACGCGGTTAACTTTAAAACTTTTTCATTTCGCTTTCAAGGCAAAAATATTTACAAAGTAGACTTAAGTTTTGGTATCGTGGGTATTAAATTTTTTTTAATATTTATTTTTACACAAATTTTAAGGAAGAGACTTAAATGCAGAATTTAAAAAATAACCCATATTTTTTGCTTGGAAACGTAGCCATAAGAATTCATGAAAGTGATTTTAAAAATAGTTTTATAGTAATAGTTTTTATAGTAAATTTTCATTCCAACAAATATTTTATTTTAATAAAAAAATAATTGATTTTTTACAATTCTTGTGAAAATTTTTTTCGGTCATGAAAAAGAAACAGAAATTTCGGTTCGTTCAGAAATTAAAATTTTGAAATTTTCACAATAAATATATATGGGATTATTACAAACATTAAAATTAATTGACAATTTTTATTAAATTTACATAGTAAATCAAATATGTAAAAAGAAACCGAATTTCTCATAGAATAAAAATTTTTCAATCTATCAATTTTTACTGTTTACATTTGTATTTAAAAATAGTGAGAGTAAGCACACAATAACCTAAATATAAGTCGACTAAATACATATATTTAAATGTACGTAAATACATAAGTTCATATACATATAAAAGTACATATAACATGTTTTAAATTCAAAAAACTTTTGATCGAAATCGATTTTAAGTGGTTTGGTTGGTTTTTGTTCCAACAACTATTTTTTTGGATCAAAATAAAATGCATAAATTTGTTGGAATAAAAAATTTTGCTGTAGAATAAAAATTTTTGATAGAAAATAATATATATATAAATTTTTATATCAAAATATTTAAGAAAAAAAGGAAGGCATTCAAAGTTTTAATTGTTTTTATTTTTAATTTTAGTGGGATTTTTTTTTAACGTAAGAATTTATTTGTGATAATAGTAAAGAAGGTTTGAAACATATAATGAGAAACTTGCAAATAATTTTTTTTAGAAATTAGCGAGCCCAGAGTTATTTTAGTTTAATTTTTATGGGAATTTTTTTTTGCACAAAAATGGTTTTGAAATAAAAAAAAAAACTTTTGTAAATAACTTTTTTGATAAAAAAATAATTTAAGGATAAAAAATTTGTAGAATAAAAAAAATTTTTTAAAAATTACAAAATTTTTAGAATAGAAAAGCTTTCGGAGAATAAATAAAAAGTGCAAAGCTTGTTTACTCTAAACATATTTCAGAATAAAACTTAAATATGCAAAATAAATAGGAACAAATTTAGAAATTTTTAGAATAGTTTTATAGATAAAAGATATGTTGAATTAAAAAACGTTTAGAAAAAATTAGGAAATTCATAGATTAGAAAAAGTTTTTGGAAAAAAATATAGTCCTTTTTTATTAAACACAGTTTTCAGGATAAAAATTATGTTAAATAAAAAAAGTTTAGAAAAGATTTGGAAATTCTTAGATTAGAAAAAGTTTTGGGAAAAATAAAAAACGTGAGTTTTTTATTAAAAAAATTTAAGAATAAAACTTAAATAAAAAAAGTTTTAGGAACAAATTTGGAAATTTTTAGAAACAAAACAGTTTTCAGGATGAAAAATATTTTGAATAACAAATCTTTAGATAAAAATTGGGAAATGTTTAAATTATAAAAATTGTTGAAAAAATAAACATAATAATAATAAATAACAGTGAGCTTTTTTATTAAAAGAAAAATGTAAGAATAAAACTCAAGTAGGATAAAAATAAGTTTAAGGAAAAAATTTAGAAATACTCAGAATAGAAACAGTTTTCGAGAAAAATGTGTAGCGAAAATTGTATGCTCTTCTTTATGTTTTTCAATAAATGCCTCTAATTTTTCATTACACAGAAATGTTTGAAAAGAATAAAGAACCGCTTAAACATTTTTTTAAGAAAAATATTTAGGGAGAGCAAAATAACTTCGTATTAAGTTTTTAAACTTCTTTAGAGATTTTTTGTTAAAAAATAGCTCAAAAATGTTTTATTTATAACATATCAAATTTAATATTATTATGTTTTTCTAATTTAGGGAAAAGTAAAATTTTGATGATTTTGTCGAAAAAAATATACATATGTATGTATAGTCAAAAAAATTAAATAAATTAAACTTAAAAATACATATACGAAAAAATTACAGAATATTTGTTAAATTACACCCTTTACGTTCAAATTTTTATAAAAACACAAAAAAATGTTTTTTCTTTTGAGAAATAAAAGTTAATAATGAATTCATTAGGAACATAACATTAAATCAAACTAATTAAAAAATTTGCTTCAAACTCTTTCGCTTTTCTATGGACATTAATCTACTTAATTTAATTTGGCAGCCAGTTTAGGATTATAAAATCTCCTTTAAAGGACTTACACATACATACTAGTTAGCGCTCTGTGATACTTCAAACAAACCTTTAGCCAAAAAATATGCTCAGAAAGTGTATAAGCTGGCCAAGCGTGACTTAAAACTTATAAAAAAAAGTAGGCGAAGCGTTATTTTATAACGTTTAATTAATGTTGCAAANCATAAGCTGGCGAAGCGTGACTTAAAACTTATAAAAAAAGTAGGCGAAGCGTTATTTTATAACGTTTAATTAATGTTGCAAAAAATCGCTTTAGCTTATTTTTAGGAGCTAGGTAGCTAGTGACGCTAAATCACTGACCAGAAGACTACACGCTTAACATTGAAATGCTTAATAGGTAGATTGATAGTTGATGTTTGTGTAGTTATGTATGTAGCTAGTAAACCTAAAACAATCGCAATCTTAGAAAACTAATTATCAAAGTAGTTACTTAACTAGTTAGTAAGTAGTGTTACACTTGGCTAGCGGGGGGTTAAGTTGTGTTCATAGATACATAGTTCAATGCTACAATAACGTCTTTGTTTTTACAAGTACTTATGTATGTACTTAGATTGCTATGCATGCACGTATGCACATACATATATGTATGTAATTGGGGTATGTATACAATATAGATTAGGATAGGATAGCACACATATTCACTTTCGAAAATTTTCAAAATTTTTTTCTCATTTTTTTTTGTGAAGTATACTCCTAGATACTTAGTAAGGTTTAGGATATATATTAGCATATAGTTATACATAGTAGTTTAGTAGTTAGTAGTAATTTTATTTTTTTTAGTATTTGCTAATACTTTTTGCTTTTGACATTCAGTTGACAATTACAAGCTAAGTTTAGAGTTGCGTTAGTTTATAACAAAACAAAAGAAAAAAAGTAAGAAATTCCCTTTAAAAAAATCAAAAACATACACGTCAAACGCCCACCTAACTCCAACCGCGCCTACTGCGCATGCGCGCTTCATTCCAGAGCAGCGTTAGTGTCGTGAGCACACACGCTGCCGTCGCACCCACTCTACTCTCCCGCCGCGCACTACGCGCCGTCGCACCCGCACCAAATACCGGAAAGTGGATCTCCTCCGGCTCGCTTAACTCCTCCTCCTCGTCGTCTACCGCATTGGTGACGGCGCGATAGCGCATAGTGAAATTCACTCTGAAGATCGCCTCGGCAACGCCACCTGGCGAAGAAACAATGAAGTAGAAAGTACGCGGCACACGCTCATGCATGCTGACGTAGGTGAGACGCGCCTCCTTGCAGTAGGGTGTGGGCAAATCCTGGAGAAGTGATAGAAAAAAATTGTTAATAATTTTTTGATTTCATTTTAAATGAGCGCATTTTTATTTACCGTTACGCCGTAGGCCAAAACAGTGCTGCCATATTGATTGCCGGGCGTGTAGACGCGATCACCGTGCAGCCAGCGGGCCGCATGCGCTGGCGGATTGGCGCAAAATTCCACAGCAAGATGCAGCGGTGAGCCTGGGTAGGCGACAGGTGTGGCATTGCGCGCCACAACAGTGGGAGAGCCTGCAGAAAAGAGAGAAAGAGAGAGAAAGGAAAGTGCGTTAGTTGGAACTTAGGGAGAGCAAAAGATTTTTATTTTTGATTTGAATAAAAGCACATTATCATAAACCTGAAAAGGCGTAAAAACTCCTGTTTAGTATGAGCTTTCACCTAAAGCTTAAATGTGTAAATCTTTTAGAGTTCATTATGTTCCAAAAAGCTTTCGTTTCTATTAAAAACATTCAGTCTAGTTTTTCTTTAAGTTTGACAGAGAATGTGGGGGTGCTTTCTAAGCTTGCTAGTAAGATCATTCATTTATTATTTTAGCTCAGTGAGTCGGTCTGCGGATAAAATTAAGTTTTTTCAGCCTGTAAAGATTTAATATTTTTACTATGTATTACATTTAAAGCGAAAGAGAGAAAATGAAAAATGTTTTTTGATTTGTGTTGGAAATATTCAACCTATATATTTTTCCTTAGTTACAATATGCATGCCAATATGGCATCTCCTTTTGCTTGTCATTTTTTCATACTTTCTTTTGCTTCCTTTTTGTATTACATTCACTTTTCTTCTCTCTGTAATTTTGATCGCAACTTTATTAAAAACATTTGCTTTAACTGAGAACAAGCTCTTTTATTTAAATCTGGGAATTTCACTGCCATCGTAAGAGGTTATGGGCCCAGCTGCCCAAAATATCAAGGTTGAGCTTTTTTCTTTCATGTTATGATTAATAGCAGCGACGAAACAGTGAAAAAGGAAGACTTATATATCAGCATAGAAAAACGTGGTGTGAGTCGCGAAATTGCTGGAGAAATGGCTGCTAATTCGATTACTAGCTCATCGAGAATTGAGCTTTTGTCAAAGGAAAACTTTGACACCTGGAGTATGCAAGTGGAGGCGCTCCTCACCAAAAATGAACTTTGGGACTATGTTAATGGCACGTGTGCGATGCCGCCGGAGAGTGATATTAATGCGAAAAGTGTTTGGCTAAAGTGTGACAAAAAGGCTAAGGCGGACTTGATTCTTTCGATTCAACCATCAGAGCTCAAGCAAATTCGTGGCTGCGACACATCGCGTGAAGTATGGCTCAAATTGGAGTCGATATACGCATCAAAGGGGCCGGCGCGCAAAGCAACACTTCTGAAACAGCTCATGTTACAGAAACTTGATGAGGGTGGTAATGTTAAAGAGCATATCGCGACATTTTTCGATGCTGTGGNGCAAAATGTTGCTGATTTTGGTTAAATAAATCATTTATTTCAAAGAAATTTTTATTTATTATTTTTGTAAATTTCTGGAAACCGATTGAAACCTGTGATTGAAATGGTTTCGGTATCGTTCCTTTTCAGGTCAAGATAACGGTTACGGTTTCGGTTTCGGTTTTGAAAAACGAAACGGTTTTAAACGGTTACGGTTTCGGTTTGGGTTTCGGTTTCATTCCTTGAAAGTAAGTTAAAAGTTAAAGTGAGGGACCACTACGTCACGCATTGTGTTACTTAATTACACATTTTAATTTGCACTCAAGCAAAAGTTTTCTTAAGTGTATCTAAATACTTTTAATTGGCTCAAAGTGTAGAAGCAAGTGAGGTAAAAGCAAGTAAGGTAGGAGAAATAGGTAGCGACTTGAAATTACTTGTTATGAAAGAATTTATTTTTCCTATGGGTGTTTTGTCTTGTTTTTGGGGAAAAAGATTTTTCAAATAAGAATAATAGCTTTTATTGACGATACAAAATTTGTTGTATTATTTGAAATTTCTTTATCTCTTGCAGAGTTTGTCACTTCACAGCACAGTTGGCCATATCACGCACACGCGTGCCAAAGCTTGAAAAAGTTCCCTGCTAAACTTGTGGGAGCTTTATCAGCCTTTGAATACTGAATACTCCCAGGGAGTTTGTTCTCCGGGAATTTGTTTCTCTCTAGAAAGAAATCCTCCAATAATTAACTCCCAGGAAGTAGCATTTAAAAAATCCGCAGGGAATTTTTATTCATGATAGGAGGAAAGGGAGAAGAGAGAAAACTCCCAGGGAGTTCCTGTTCAGAATCGGCCTGTATATGCCTACGTATTTTTATAAAATACTTGTATACTTGAAATTATTTGCTAAAGTATAAACATCGCTTTTCTTGTTCGTTTTCTGTTTAGCTTTTTGGCAAAAAGCGGTATATTCTATAAAACTTGCATTGGGTAATTTTTGATCCTGCTTGGAGTTGTTTACTTCATGGACATACCAGCAAAGTTTTTTGAAGCTTGGTATGCTTTCTTTGTTTTATAAAAATAAATTACGAATGTATATAGTATTCACTACCTTCTATGAGGAAAAAACACGCTTTTTCGTTTGAGTTTGGTCTAGGTTTTCGGTTTTTCCCGTTAAGCTCTAGAACGGATGGTTTCATTAGCGGTAAAGTTTTCACGATGTTCATTAAATTTTTCTATCTTATTTAGAGCTAAGGACTTCATAGGTATCCTTTTAGAAATTTTTGAAACTTTCTATACTTTTTACTATATAATGAAACATATTTTTTTTCTTTTCAGCTTTACACTTTTGTTGGCAAAATCTAACTAAAAAATATTTAAAAAAGTGTGCGGTAAGTTACCCTTTGATAAGTAAGTTTAATCCTTGATAGACAATACTTTAAAATTTATGTTTACAAGTACTATGATAAGTACTACTTGCTATAAACCATTTTTAAATTTCTTGTGGTCTTTCTTGTTAAGTCGTGGGAGATAAAAGCTTTTGCACCAAAATTTTCCAAACCTCTACTACGGTGGTGGGCATCAGCTTACCCGCGGGCAAAGCTCTTTCAAGCTTTCTATACTAAATATAACGCTTGAAAGAGCTTTGCCCGCGTGCAGGCTGGTGCTCACCACCGCTTTAATAAAAGGAATGAAAGCTTTCATACGCGATAAATCTTTCTCAGCATTATATAATGTTTTTGATCTTCAACAGAGTTTGTAGCTTTATGGGCATGCTTACAGAGCTTTTCAAATTTTATATACTATATACATATCTACTATAGAAGCTTTCTGTTCTTTTCATTTACGTCAACATTTTTTTCAAAAATTTCATGGGTAAAATGAAAGCTTTCATAAACAATGCGATCCAAAAAACCCTTAAATCGTATTCGGCCAATATATTGGCATGCTTGAAGAGCTTTTTTTTTATAAATTCGATTTAACTCAACAACTTTATTGAGCTTGAGGCCGTTTCTAGCGAAATATATTTTTATGGTCTCACCGCCGGAATCCTCTTACCCAAGAAAGAGTTGAAGCTTATTCTCTTCTCAATGGCTACTGCGAATTGTGAAAACTATCTACAGAAAGCTTAGAAAAGCTTTGTGCGCGTGTCTATGGAGTGATCAAAATGACTTTAAAGGCCTTTTGCAACATTTTTTTGCAATCTTAGACCTTTTAAAATCAATTTTCTTAATAAAGCACCTTCGGAGCTTTTTTGTTTGCCTTCTGTTTTGCATAGATTTCGACACTTCGCCGCCATGGCACAGCTGTTCTCGCCAATTGCATTCAAGTCCCATCAAAATGTCTGACCCTTGAATGGTGTCCAAATGAATAATGCAATACATGCCATCAAACTTTCGTTCAAACCCTTAATTTTACACACAAACCAACTCATACTTAACCATAAACAACACTCTAATACGTATTGCGACTAATTGCAGTGGCGTGTTCAAATTTTCAAGTGTAAAAATTTAATTTATTTGCCTAAAACTCCATGTCGATATGTTCACCACCGCCATTATTTAGTTGCAAGTACGCAAGCAGCACCGGAAAAGCTTAAAACAGAAATAAATAAACGAGAATCACAATCTACAACTTTGCATACGTTAGGGCGCTTCGCTCCCAGCGGCTGCCGTTCAACGAGGCATGTGGCAGCATTTGCAAATTGTATTTGGAAATGGTGGTGGTGGCACAAGCCTCAGTTGCTAAGCCGCCATCAATGCGCGGTGATTTCACGCCATCGTGTTGTATACATATGTATGTGCTACATGCATCGGCGTGGCGTTCATGCGGCGGCCTTGCTAAAATACATTCTTCTCTCCATGCTGTCCATTGGTGGGACTTTTAATTTGATTTTCGTTAATTTGCGCGCGCACATCCCAAACTGCGCCAGCGGACGACAAATACACATGACTGACCTCCATCATTTTCTCGCCCTTTACAACAAAATATGTATATGGCAAGGCCACTCCAGTTTCGTTCACATTTAACTCTCACTCGCCCCCCTTACAACCCGTCGCTTCCAAATGGGCCTCCTTCCGTTTACCTTGTTCATTTGCTTGGTTGGTGGTCACTCGCGCCATTTGCCTTTCGATTTCATTGCTTCGTTCGATAGGGATTTTCGAGAAATTGCGTTGGGATCTCACCACTTTCTCCACTGTTGGTGTTTTCCCTCGTTAGGTTCCTTCGTTATTGGTTCATGCTTGATCTGCTAGCCTTTAGTTCTTTCTGGGCGTAGTTGCGGCATGAGAAAATTGCTCACTGATTGATGTACACATGTATGCTTGTACGTATGTATATACGATGTGCATATGTGTACATATATATATTTTGTATTTTAGTGAATACCCAGCAAAAAATCGGTAATCGCTTTTAGTGGTAACGTGTTCTAGAAGGCATAGCGTTATAATGCGTTCGAATTTTTCCGCTTCTTTTAGGCATTGCCGGTAATGCAAAGTAGAATGTCCAACAATATTTTATTTATTTCGCTTCTTTGTTTGATTTCGGGGAATGCAAAGTAGAATGTCCTATAATATTTCTTTTTTAATTCGTTTCTTTGCTTCATTTCCGGAAATGCAAAGTAGAATGTCCTACAATATTTTATTTGTCTCGCTTCTTTGCTTCATTTCAGGGAATGCAAAGTAGAATGTCCTACAATATTTTTTTTATTTCGCTTCTTTGCTTCATTTCGGAGAATGCAAAGTAGAATGCTGCATCGTAGTCAGCTGAAAAATAGAATGAATA